AGAAAGAAAGAAAGAAAGAAAGAAAGAAAGAAAGAAAGAAAGAAAGAGAAAGAATATGGTAGGAAGGAAAAAAGGAAAAAGAAGAAAGACAGAAATATATGGAGGAAGGAAGGAAGGAAAGTAGGAATGAAGAAATTATATATATATATATACATAAAGTGAGAAAGAAAGAGTGTTTGTCATTGCAAATAAAGCAGGTTATAAGTTGTCAATCAAGCTCAGTAGTCCTTCCTTATTCCACTCCAACCACCACTTGCAAGCACTGTAGATGTCTGTGCCCTTCTTTCTGCAGTCTGAATCCCCACACAATCTGAACATTTACATGTCTCACAACTAAATTTTCCTACTACAAACTGTCCACTAAGTTATTATTGATGAGAGTTTATTGACTATTTTCAACATTGATTAAATGTATTAGTAAGCTTGTAAGGAACAATAAGTTTGAAAAAATTGGATATAAAATATTAACAATTGGAAAATACTTTAGAATAATTATGGAGAATCAGTTAGCTTACAATGGATAAGCTCATGGAGTAATTGTTAAAATGACAACGGAAGATGCAGAACAAATAATAATGAAGAAATTAGCTATATGGTACTCTATCCAGTCAGCGTGGATTAAAAAGACATGGATAAGCATGCTATTGATGTATTTTCTAATAGCTTGGATATACCCACCAATGTCACAGTAATTATTAAAAATGTGAATTTACTTTCATTAAGGTTAATCAAACTTTTAAAATTTGTTTTGTTTCAACACATTCTTAGCCCAGCTTCTCTGCATCCCTGCTACTATAGCTCCAATTTCTGCAGTACTTACACAATTACACTGTAGAGGCATAGCTATTCACACCAGCTGGAATTTCTACATTACTTGGGATCACCTATTTTCCTAAACATGCACACACAGTCTCTCAATTTATTTAAATCTCACTTGGAAGATAATGCAATAGTGTCTTGCAAACTCTCTTTTTTGTAACCAGACCTGCCTTCAGAGAGCTAAATACAAGGTAGTAAACTCTTAAACAAAACCCCTAAAGGATGAGCTTTGCCTTTCTTTTTCTATGGAAAAAAAAATTTATCTGGATCATTGGAAGCACTCTGGACCTTTTGAAATTTGCACATGAAGAGTCACATTTGATCAAAAAGTATCTAAATACTCCATTTGCAAGATCCATGTGACTTGGGGGAATGCCATAGTTCTCTTGATAAGCTCTCATTAAACATGATGAGTAGAGGTTAGATGGTTATAATGAAAATAGCAGTTTCTGGAAATGATTATGTCACTTAATTTCAACCCATTTGCATACTGCTATTCTTGCAACTGGATGGGAATTTTACTAGGGAAGTTAAATTCATGGGAATGTTTTGATCTTTTTTCTGAGTTACTTATTGACACTCCTTGAAACATTTTTTTAACTCAGCTTACTTTACATTAAATGAAAAAATAGAAAAAGATAAAACTGTCTAAATGTAGTAAACAAAGATAAGTCAAATAATTCATTCAAAACATTGGTTTAATAATACAGTGAACAATAAAAGAATAAACTCTGAACCTAAAGATAAGCTATTTATGTGCTTCAGAAGTTTTAAAAATAAAAGAAAAATGGTACTTTAAAAGTGAAATATTTTACCCTTATGGCATTTTTGAAATTCATATTTCCATGCTACCATTCTTCAAGGTAGACACAGAATTATCTTAAGGTTTAAAACCACTAAAAATTACTTCACTTGGGAATACCCGAAGTAAATTTTCTAAGTCTCTGAATATTAATGATGGAAAAGTGGCTAGGACCTGTTCATTTAAGACTACCCCTTTCTACTGGACAATGCAACAAATTCAGCAAAACCTATTCTTTTCAAATCTTCATTCTCGTTAAAATCAAATTCAAGGCAATGCTGGCCAAATTGTGCCTGTAATAAAGAAGTAAATGGTGGCATGAGTATGTGACCACTAATTTAAAAGTTACAGATACAGCAAGAAAAACTCTAATTACTTTATATTCGATATGCATTATTTATTTCAGTAAGAAAATGTTTATATTCCACTGTTAGTATACTGATTTTTTTTTCAAAATTCCTTTAGAGAAATTTTTCTGAGCATCCAGGAGGTTATTGACACTCTGGACATTGATGTATCATGTGTTTGACCTTGAATAAGCCATGTAACCATTTTCTCAGTTTATATAAAATGGCACTTACTACCTGTAAAAGTTTTGATTCACTACAAAGTGTAAAGTTCTCTCTTCTATTTATATTCCTCCTTTTTGACTGAATTTATTATATGCTTTTCTTTTGTTCTTCACCACTCCATGGTCATTCTGGACATTGAAAGTGAAACCAGGAACCTTTTTTATTTATTTATTTATTTTTATTATTAGTTACAATTTATTAACTCTGTATCCCAACTGTATCCCCTTCCCTCATTCCCTCCCAAACCCTCCCTCCCTTCCTCATCTCCTCCCTGCCCCTTTCCAAGTCCACTGATTGGGGAGGACCTCCTCCCCTTTCATCTGACCCTGTTTTATCAGGAAACCAGGAACCTTAAATCACTTTCTAAAAAGGATTTTCTTTCTCTCTTGGTGATAGGAAATTCCCCCATAGTCTCAATTATCATCATTACGCTAAGTCTCTGAAACCCATCTTCATGCCCATTCTAAACGATTTTTGGCAACTTCAGGTGTTTTAGTTTTAAGAGTTTCAACATGAACTCAAAGCAGGATTTTGGATTTGCTTTGTTCCTTGCAGTTGTGTTCAGAGATATTCCTCAGGATGATGTCATTGCTCTGCAGCAACCCAGAATGCAAATTCCTGGAGTATTTTTCCCTGACCTCTTTATGTGGGAGCTTCTTCTAGCTAAACCCTCCCAGCAGGACCTTTCCTTTACATCCTCAGTAAGTCTTCTTTATGCAGTCCAGTAAACACTCCTAACAGTTGCCTTTATGGGGTGATTGACTTTTCAAATATTCTCTGTGTCTCTTTCTCTCTCTCTTTCCAGGATGTTAGCTAAAAGACACAACTATTAAAATATAAACTCCCGAGTCTTAGCACCGAATGATGGGTCAAAATTGCCATGTTTGACAAGGTCTTCCAAAAGCATGACTTTCAAAATGTGATGCTCAATACATCCTGACCAGTAATGTGAATATACCCTACCACACAGTCTGTCTATTGCTAGAGAATGAGCTGCACAAAGCAGGGATTCTTAACTTGGCTTTCTTTGTGCCTGAAGAGTTTACTTACTATTATTTTAAATGTCTCTCTCTGAGTGTGAGTGTGGGTGTGGGTGTGCCCGTGCCATGGCACAGGTACAGACATCAGAGGACAATCTGGGGTCTTGGTCTTCGTCCACTTATTGTAAGAGTGGCTCTTCCTTT